TTTGAGACCGACCCTCAAGCTGCCCCCAAGGTAGAGTGCTATGGCATCACAACTCACAGCAACCTCCAACTCCTGGGCTCAAGCGAGTCTCCTGCTTTTGCCTCCCAAGTAGCTGGGACTACAGGCACCTCCCACAACACCCAGCTAGTTTTTGGTTGCAGCCATCATTGTTGTTTGGCGGGCCTGGGCTGGATTTGAACCTGCCAGCTTAGGTGCATTTGGCTGGCGCCTTAGCCACTTGAGCCACAGGCACAGAGCCTGGTCCTCTATTTTTATACCTTAGATGTAATTACTTTCAGAACCTTTAAGACATGGAAAATCTAAACATGAAAAGCCCTGGGCATAATGAGAAGAAAATATAAGGTGATAATACAGCATAGTAGTTAAGTGGTTGGGATCCTCCACTAAGTTCTTTGCCTAAGTTTCTACATGTTAACATTCTTCCTTCAAGGGGTGAAATAATATGTTTAGAGCTCAGCATAGTGCCTAGCATATAATGTCTGCTGTGATGACACTGTATCTGATAACAAATTTGGTATTAACGTAATTGTAGAGTTTATTCAGCTATTTATAGATACTTCTATGGTGGGGATTAGAGTGACCAGAGAGGAGCAGCCTATGTCCCAACAGGGCAGGGGTCCAGCGTTGTCATCAGATGTCTTCAGTAGGAGTGGACAGGGATTGCAGCAACTTGACCTGGTGAGGAGCTCCCCGTTTCAGAAGTGCCTTACCATGTGGGCTGAGCAATGTGGAGATGAACTTGAAGGCTTTGTTTGCCTTATGCTGAGGAACAAGTGCCCCCTTTCAGAAGATGCTGGAAGGTTTGAATATATTTTCTATCCTAGAATGTCCATCTTTGTAAGTGAATCCCTGTGAAAAGTGGTATCCCTATTAAAGTGCAAGGTGTTTTCTTTGCGGGAATGTTGGGTTGAAGTAGGTGAGAATATAGAGCTAGCACCTCAGATTGTAGAGGAATTGATCCTGCTGTTGTCTGTGAGTTGAGGGGAAGTTGCATTTGGGGCCAGGCCTTAATGCAGCTGAGAGTCTTGTTTATCTCTAAAAAAGATAATGAAATTAATTTTTAAGTGTCAAGAAATAAATTGCCTCTTAGGAATACTGTACCATGATAACTTGTCAACCCCCACTTAATCACGAGAGTTCCATGACTAGCAGCAGTGGGAGTCCTCTTCAAGCTGGGCTTAGGTAAGAAAACACCTTTGTTTCCTTTTCGTAGGATTCACTTTGGAAAGCCCTTGTCTCTGTGGCTTTTAGATATCTTCACCACAAACATAAATCTTACCCCATGTGTGTTGAGTTTCCGTTCCTCTTCTAGCTGTGTTCCTAGCTAGAAGAATGGATTAAATTCTTTGGTGCTTTTCTTTCTGACCATCCTCTAATCTTCTCATCTGCCTGCAAGTAAATTTGATTCTCTTGCTGTGCAGAGTGGTGAGAGTGGGTATGAACAGCTCACAAACCCTCCCTACCTATGAACATGCAGATTGGGTGATAGGGAGTGTGGTGCCCACCAGCCCCCAGTTGGAGCAGAGAAGCTGCAGAACATTCCAGCATCAAGTCCCACGTCATTTAGGTAGGTTTTTAGGTGAGGAGTATTCATACTAGCTTTTGGATAGCCACTGTGACTGGTGCCCCCTAATCAGTAGACATCAGCTCAGTACCCTCAGTGCTTAAAGGATAGTTGATGGGATTCCTGACGTGCCTAGGGAGGCATTGTGAAATTCAGAGATTCCCAACTGCATTAAGTCCTGATTCCTGAGAATGGGGCAGATAGCGTGGGCTGCCAGACTCCAGTGCAAGGAGATTGGGTCTGATGTGGGTGTGAAGAAACGAGCTTAGGCTACCAGCCCTGGAACAGGGAGGTTAGTTACCCCTCAGGCTTTGTCTTAGCCAGTTAATGACATCAAAGCAAGGTGTATATTTTAACCTCACATGAATCTTGCAAATATGTAAGGCCGGTATAGTGGCTCATATTTATAATCCCAGTACTCTGGGAGGCCAAGGTAGGAGGATCTCTTGAGCTCAGGAGTTCAAGATCAGTCTGAGCAAGAGTGAGACCCCATCTCTACTAAAAGTAGAAAAAATTAGTCAGGCTTGATGGTGGGTGCCTGTAGTCCCTACCTATTTAGGAGGCTAAGGCCAGGAGGATTGCTGGAGCCCAGGAATTTGAGGCTGCTGTGAGCGAGGCTGATGCCATAGTACTCTAGCCCCAGAGACAAAGCAAGACTCTGTCTCCAAAAAAAAAAAAAAAAAACAAACAACTAAATAGAACAGGCAGGATTTTCTAAGTATCACAGAGCAGAAGTTCTTTCCTTATTTCCCCTTCACCTCAAGAGTCTGGGAAGACTTGAAGTAGGGAGACGGGAAATCCTTGGGTAGTACCGTAGGGTTGCTCCTGTGTGAGGACACTGCTGTTTCTCTTTGGGAAGGAGTCAGAAGGCACCTGCTGCAGGGGCCCTGGTACTCACACTGTAGCCACACGCATTCACACATATGCACCTGGGGAGAGGTGGTCTTCCTCCTGTGGGGGGGGGGGTGACAGGCAGGAGAGTCACAGAGCTTGGTCTCTGCTTCCCAGCTGGGTGGTTTGCTTTTGGCCTACAGAGCTTTTCTTCCTTCCCTGAGGAAGAAGATAGTCAGGGAGAAGCAGTGGGACATTTAACTGTAGGGAAGAGGGTGATTGCAGGGTGACTGGTGTGCAGGTGGATTTTTGGTTGCCTTTTTGTAATTAGTTGATCAGTAAATCTTAACAATTGTGAACAATGCTGCCCTTCCATTGAAGTGTGGGGCCAGCATAGGCTCCTTTGTGGTCCAAGCAGCCGCAGAGCCAACACTAGTTAGTTAGAGCTAGTTAGTGAGAGTACTTAAGTTCCAGGGGTCCCAGGATCCTGGGGACAAGTTTTCAGGTCCTCACTTCACCTATACCCCTAAATAGTAACTAGCAGTGTTAATTTCTCTCCTGGGACTTGTCTGTAGAAAAGAATAATTGATCCCTTGAAACATTCTGGCTTCAGAGGTAATAAAATTGGCCATGCTTGTCACTCTTGGTTCTTGTTTGCTGATGCTACAATAGCTTGAGAACCTGGTAAATAAGAATGATGGTTCCATGGTTCTTCATATCTGTAGTTTGGCAAAAAAATTAAAAATTGATTACAATGGCTACTGCCTGTAATCACAATACTTCGGGAGGCTGAGGTAGAAGGATTGCTTGAGACTAGGCATTAGAGACCAGCCTGGGCAACATAATGAGACCATGTCTCTACAAAAATATTTTTAAATTGGGGCCAGGCATGATGGCTCATGCCTATAATCCCAGCACTTTGGGAGGCCGAGGTGGGCGGATCACCTGAGCTCCTAAGTTTGAGACCAGCCTGAGCTAGAGTGAGACCCAGTCTCTAGATGTCATTGTTGTTTGGCAGGCCTGGGCTGGTTTTGAACCCAGCAGTTCTGATGGTTGTGGCTGGCGCCAAGCCAGGACTCCATCTCTGAAAAAAAATAAAAAATAGCCAGATGTTGTGGCAGGCGCCTGTAGTCCCAGCTACTTAGAAGGCTGAGGTAAGAGAATCGCTTGAGCCCAAGGGTTAGAGGTTGCTATGAGCTATAACACCACAGCACTGTATGGCGGGTGACAGAGTGAGACTCTCTCTTAAAAAAAAAAAAAAAAAATTAGCTGGCTGTGGTGGTAGGTTTGTTTGAGTTTGGGAACTTGGGGCTATTCTTGAGGTTGTTAGGATTGGACTACTGCACTCCAGCCTAGGTGATAGAGCAAGACCCTGTCTCAAAAAAAAAACAAACAACAAAAAAAAACCCCTTGGCTTGGCCCCTGTAGCTCACCGGCTAGGGCACCAGCCACATACACTGGATCTAGCAGCTTCAAATCCAGCCGGGCCTGCCAAACAACGATGACAACTACAATCAAAAAATAGCTGAATGTTGTGGTGGGCATCTGTGGTCCCAGCTACTTGGGAGGCTGAGGCAAGCGAATCGCCTAAGTCCAAGAGCTGGAGGTTGCTGTGAGCTGTGATGCCACAGTCTCAAAAAAAAAAAAAGTCTCTGTCTCAAAAAAAAAAAAAAGGATTGTAAAACCCTTAGCACTGTTTTTTTATGAGTGTGAGGTAAAATGCCATCCCCTTTCAGAAGTGGAATTCATATTCCCTCCACCAGAATGAAAAGTCAGTAATGAGTACTTCTTCCCTGTTTGTACCGTTTTTGAGGCCTGGCAGGTAATTCACTCCTCGGGGGTTATATTGCGGCCCTACGAGAGTAGACAGGAAGAGGAAGCGTATCAGTGAGAGAGGCTTGAATGTTCACCTGGTTCTTGCCCTTGAACACAGACTGTGGGGAGGACACAAATGAGGGGCTCAGGAAGTACAGAGCATGGGGTGTGGGCAGACGAGTCTGTGCAGGGACCAGGCCTACAAAGATTGCTGGGTGGGGTAGAAGGGGAGGAGACTCATGTCGGCCTCTGTGTGCTTGGGCAGTAGGTATACAAGAGGCTGGAGGGCTGCAAGTCTGGAGAGGGAGCTCTTCCTGCCTGCCAAGTCCTGCTGGAGCACTTGGACTTTAAATTCTGGAACTGTGGTTTTCAAATATTATTTAGTGGCTGGATGTGGTGGCTCATGCCTGTAATCCTAGCACTCTGGAAGGCTGAGGGGGTAGATCGCTTGAACTCAGGAGATGGAGACCAGCCTGAGCAAGAGCAAGACCTCCTCTCTACTAAAAATAGAAAAACTAGCTGGGCATCATGGTGGGCGCCTGTAGTTTTTAGCTACTTGGGAGGCTGAGGCAGGATTACTTGTGTGCAAGAGTTTAAGGTTGCTATGAGCTGTGATGTCATGTCACTCTAGCCAAGATGACAGAGTGAGACTCTCTCAAAAAACAAACAAAAAAATCATTTAGCCATGAAATCTCTTTCAATGAAATTTTAAATGGCTACCCAGCATGCAAACTTAGAGCAGAGTTGCAGGCGTGAGGAAGGCCTGATGTCACCAACTTATCCATAGTGACCACAGGGACCACCTAGAACTTGCAACATGTTTTCAGGCTTTTGGCTTTTAGGAAAGTTTTGATGACAACAGTTACCAGTTTCCTGATCAGTATGGGTATTTTCTACTCAGATTCTCCTGATAGTGAAAATGCCGTTGAGGACGAAGAGGAAGAGGAGGAGGAAGATGATGAGGAGGAAGATGACTTGGAAGTTAAGGAGGAAAACGGTGTGTTGGTCCTAAATGATGCTAACTTTGATAACTTCGTGGCTGACAAAGACACAGTGCTGCTGGAGTTTTATGCTCCATGGTAAGGACTGCGGTCTGGTTCTTGCGGGTGGACAGGTTCTGTGCGGCATGTACTAGACTCCTCACAGGGCCATCCAGACACCCTGGGCGCACGTGTCTGGCTGCAAGACCTCACATTCCGATCTGAGAGCACTGAAGGCTGGAGCTCACTTGTTCCATGGCTTCGAGAGAGCAGCCCATGAGCCAGTCCTCACAGATAGTGGTGTCCTCTTGTTGTGGAGTCCAGTGGGTTAGATATGAACATGTTCTCAGGTGGGGGACAGGTGTTTAACAAGCAGATTCTGCCCCAACCTAATCAGTGCCACCACTCCCTCTTCCCATCAGGGCCGGTGCACAGACAGCTGCCCCAGGGGCAGCATGTTGGCCTGTGTGGTGGTTTATTGCTCACACAGGGCCTAGGGGGACCATCTGGTACCCCCTCTTCTGTCTCCCCCCCCACCAAATGCAGTCTACACAGCTCTTTTTTTTTTTTT